CTATTCTATTCTATTCTATTCTATTCTATTCTATTCTATTCTATTCTCTCCTATTCTATGCTATTCTATTCCATTCCATTCCGTTCCTTGGATCTTTATTGGACCCAATGCCCCATTTAAACCTGGTTTGGAAGAAAGGGCTTAGTGCAATCCTGGTTACAACTTCGTCTGTCTGTCTTGTGTTAGCTTTTGGCAACGCCAAGACCATTCGCAACGACAACTCAAGCCGGTTTGGCAAATACATTGACATCCATTTCAACAAGCGAGGGGCGATCGAGGGAGCTAAAATTGAGCAGTACCTCTTGGAGAAATCCCGCGTCTGTCGACAGGTAAGGATACCTTACAGACACAGACACGCACCCCTCAGGTGTACAGGTCGTCCTCGACTTATGACTGCCCATTTAGTGACCATTCAAGGTTACAACAGCACGGGGAAAAAAATGATTTGTGGCCATTTTTCACACAACTGTTGTGGTATTCCCCAAGGTCACGTGATCAAAATACGGATGCTTGCCAACTGACTCGTAGTTATGACGGTCACAGTAGACTGGGTTCACATGATCCCCTTTTGTGACCTGCTGGCAAGCAAACCAATGGGGAAGCCAGATTCAGTTAACTGCCACATTCCTAGCTTAACAACCACCGCGAAAACAATTAACCAGTGGAAATAAAAACCAGTGGAGGCTTTTAAGAAGAAACTGGGCAGCCATCTTGTTTGAAATGGAATAGGGTTTCCTGCCTCTGAGCAGGGGGGTGGACTAGAAGACCCCCCAAGGTCCCTTCCAACTCTGTTATTCTATGTCCTAAGGTTTCCCTTCTCCTTTTCTCTTTTTCCTCAGGCTCGAGATGAGAGAAACTACCACATATTTTACTGCATGCTGAAAGGAATGAGCTTGGAGCAGAAAAAAGTGCTGGGACTTAGGAAAGCAATGGATTATAACTATCTTTCCATGGTAAAAGGTTAAAAATAACAATAATTTTTTGAATCTCTTTTTTTCTGCTCGGTCCATAAGCGAGCCAGGCTGCATCCTTGTCATAAACTAAGCCACGATAGAAAATATTTATAACTTGGGTGGTAGATGTCGGTGATGGTTTGCTCCCCTGGCTTGCTGTTTTGTTTCTGAATGTTTCATCACCAGGCTAGGCAACCTGCTCAACAAGACTTTGGCTGAAGCATCCTGTGTTCAGATCTTTGTTATTGATATCATGTGGTTGGTGGGTCATGTGACCGCCTGGTCATGTGATGTGACATGCCATGCCACCCTATGCCCGGTATCGAAGTCTGGTATTCTACGAACGGATCGATCAACCAACCTGAAGCCAGCTTACCAACGCCTTAAGCAGGGGTGGGATTCAGCCGGCTTGGGTCGGTTCAGGTGAACCGGATGTTAAACTGACTGGCTGGCCCCGCCCACCCCACCCCTCCCAGGAGTCTCCATATGGCCCGTTTTGGATGCAGGTAAGTCCACGCGGAGGCTCAGAGAGGGTGAAAAATGCAGGCAAGTCCACGCGGAGGCTCCGAGAGGGTGAAAAATGCAGGCAAGTCCATGCGGAGGCTCTGGGAGGTTGAAAAATGGGCTTTCCGGAAGTCTGGAATGGGCCTGTTTCCAGCTTCCGGAGGGCCTCCAGAACCCAGGGGAGGCCATTTTCATCCTTCCAGAGGCCCAAGGGAAGCCTCCGGACTCTGGGGAAGGCAAAAAATGGCCCTCCCAGAAGTCCCAGTAGGCCACGCCCACCATGGCCATGCCCACCCAGCAAACAGGCAGAGAACCACTTGAATCCCATCCCTGCCCTTAAGGATCCATATCCATTGAGCGACCAACCAATGATGGCACCGACCACGTCTTCGCTAGGTGACCTTCACACGACATCACCAGCCGGTCACATGGCATGTCACACACAACGCGAGCAGCTGATCACATGACCTACCAACCACCTGACCACATGGGATCAATAAAAGCAGAGAAGGAAGACATTCCAGAAAGAGTGCAGAGAAAAGCAACGAAGAGGATTAGGGGACTGGAGGCTAAAATATATCAAGAACAGTTGCAGGAATTGGGCATGACTAGTTTAATGAGAAGAAGGACTACGGCTGACATGATAGCAGTTTTCCAATATTTGAGGAGTTGCCAAAAAGAGGAGCTATTCTCCAAAACACCTGAAGGCATTAGATTTTAAAGGGAAAAGGATAGTTCTCACCCATCTCCACACTGTCACTGACTCCATTCCTGCACTCTTCTTAGATTGAAGCTGTCTCTGGCTGTGTGGTGGCCATCTTGGCCACCTCTTCTCTGTGACGTGGCTTAGAGAGCAATAGCCTTGGGGCTCTACAGGGGAGTTGCGTTCTCCCCTGGAACCTAACAAGGCACCTCTCCTTTGCTTCACCACCCCTCCAGGGTGGCTTTGGCTTTCTCTGGAGCCCACAAACATGAAGAAGCCAGTTATTCTGACCAAGGCTTCCGAGACCATAATTAAGCACATGCTCAGTTAAAACAATTCCTGTTTTATTTCAACCTGTAATTAGTTCCAAATAGTCTCTCGAGATAAGCACCCACCTTTCTTTCCTGTGAAGTGCTGCCAACAACAGAAGTGCCAAATGAACTATAAAAAAACCAACTGAAGTACAAAGTCCACACAGAGCCTCAAGGATTAATCTGAACAGAACGAAAGACTTTGCTTCCTGCACAGGTTTCATCACCTTTGCCTGTCCTTTATCCCTTATGGGAGAGGCAATCACCTCCAAACCTTACTCCCAAGTCACCCCTTTTGTTTCAGCTGCTCTTGCTTTCGAGCAGCTCTGAGCACACGCACACTGGGAACAGGTTCCCCTTGTTCCTCTTCCTCACTGCTGCCAGATTCCGGAGGCTCTGGAGTCAGGACCTCACTCCCAGATGGTCCTGGCCCCATCTCTGCATCAGATGCAGGACCCTCGTCCGAGTCCTCTCCAGACACCCAGATTGGTCCCCGTTCTTCCCCACTGTCCGATTCCGCTGCCATCTCCACAGGCTTCTGGTGAACCACAACACCAGTGCAGGGGACGGAGAGCTCCGTTCCTTTGCTGCTGATGTCGCCACGGTGTCACTTCCGGTCCCCATTCTTCAACCAATGTTACCTATCCTGGTGACGAAAGGTTCAGAATCCAAAAAACAACAAGCCTGGAGAACAAAGCACCATCAACAAACCAAGCCATGGCCTGCCTGTGGACCAGAAATGTCGGTTATCAGGCTCCGTAATGCTTTGCGCTCTCCATCTTGCACTAGGGCAACTGCATTACTTGTGACGGTAGAGACGATAGCAAAGAATACTCCAACATCCGGGCAGCCATGAAAGTCCTGATGTTCACCGACACGGAGAACTGGGAAATCTGCAAACTTTTGGCCTCTATCCTGCATATGGGAAACCTGCGATACGAAGGTAGCATCTTCTGTTAATGTGAAGCCACAGAGTAGGAATTCTACCATCGTTTGGTAACGTTTTCCCTTTTCCAGTCCGTGGTTATCTAGAAAGGAAAATATGTATAGATCAGGGTTGAAATGAGGGGTCTTTGAGTTCAATTGTTTTCTTTGCAGACGTTTCATTACCAGCTAGGTAACATTATCAGTGCTAGGAAGGAGCATGAGAAAGAAGAGGAGAAGGAGGAGACTAGGGGATCCTTGGTACCTTGTAAGCTTGGTGGTTTTCTTGCGGACATTTTATTACCCCACTAGATAATAACATCAATGCTGGAAGGGTTTGAGAACTGTGGAGATGAGGAAGAAGAAGAGAAAGAGGAGGAGGAAAATTGTGGGATCCTTGTTGCTCTCTGAGCTTGGTTGTTTTCTTGCAGACCTTTCAGTACCCAGTTAGGTAACACCATCAGGGCTAGAAGCGAGTGGGGTTAACCTGTGCAAACAAGCCTCTTGTATATAAACAGAGAGCAAACCCCAATCCCACGTCTGCCAACAGTTTGTTTCTCCTTCTCTCTCCGCAGCCCGCAACTACGACAATCTCGATGCTTGTGAGGTTGTCCATTCTGCGTCCTTGATAACGGCTGCGTTGTTGCTGGAGGTGAGCTGGATTCTCTCCCGTCCTGCTTAGGTAGAAGCTGTAGGAAGCTTCCCTTACAGTAGAACAATGGCCCCTTTATGACTTGCAGACTTCAACTCCCAGAATTCCTCATACCACTTGGTACCTTTAAGGCTTGTGGACTTCAACTCCCAGAATTTCCCAGCCAGTCATACGGCTTTGCCCCTTTAAGGGTTGTGGACTTCAATTACCAGAATTCCTCAGCCAGCCATACCACTTGGTAACTTTAAGACTTGTGGACTTCAACTCCCAGAATTCCCCAGCCAGCCA